GACTGGGACTACAACATTTCCCTATCATAACAAGTGTTCTACTGTGTTTACTTTTACTGTGTCCTCTACGGTATGGCCTTTATAGACAGGTTGGCCTGTATTTTGAATCAATTGAATGTTGTAGAAATTACAGTACATGTTCAGTTATAGCAAGCATTTCATTTTAAATGGTAAGATAATGATATTTCAAATGTTTCGAATTACCTCAAGGTTATAATATCAGGACCAATGTTCATCAAAAAGAAGTTGTCATACTCAATGTGAAATCAGATCGATTATTTCAGAATGATAAAAACCTAGCAAACAAAAATAATGTTAGTCTGCAAAGTGTACAACATTAAATATGAACAACCTTACATTGTTGAATTCCTGGACCTGTTCATTCATGTTCGCAACCCAACTTAAATAACATATTTTTACATGTACATGAACAGCAACTGGGGATGAAAAAAAAAGAGTAGCTGTGTAAACAGACCTAAAAATACTCACTTTTCCTGTTGACTACTGAATTCTCTAATTCCCTTAGGCTTAGTACATGGACCTCCGCCACCGGATGCCAGTAGGCAGAGGGTTAATCTATGTGCTTTAACATACAGAAATATGAGGTGCACTGAGCTTACGTCATTTTCTTTTGTAAGGGTAGTTACATTCTAGGAAGTTTAAGGTACCATTTGTAAACAAGATCTAATACATGGCATTGCACGTCTACACAAAAATTGAGTAATAAATAAATACAAAAACTCCTAATACTGACCTACATGTAACAATACACAAGAAAGGAAGCCTGGGTGAATATCATCAAGAAAAAAAAATAACTTGAAAACCCGACTTAGGTGTATTTTCATATTGTCTTTTCTACACTATAAAACAAACACTTTGTATTCTACATAGTACAAATAAATACAGTGAAGGCTCAAGTACTAAAGCTATCTCTTAAAATAGACTGGTCAAAATAAATCTAAGAAATGTAAATATGTTGCTAAGTTCGGTATCAAAAAGACGCGTCCAACATGCAAAATTCTTAAAACTGTCATTATTTGGTTTGATTATAATTATAGCTTCTACCAACTTTAAAATTTAGTAGGCAAGCTTTCATCCACTCCTGTGGAATTTTTTAAGCGAAGTGATTATTCACACAGTTTTTTGCTGTCTGCTGCCATGTGATCACTGGAGCAAAGATAGGTGACAATGGATAGCCAGAGTGCTTATTTAGTGAATACTTAATGACTTTTGTTAATTAAAAGTAATTTTTTGACATATCTGAATGAAAGTTTAGCTAACATTAAGCCTCAAAAAGATGGTATATAATTTTAACAGCTCAATATCCTAATAAAGTGGTTTTACCTCTGTGTGATAAAATTATGATTTTGAGCAATTATGCAGTTGCGTTTCAGACACATCTTTTTTGTGCCACTACATTCCGCCAGGCTACCTAAGCTGCTTTTTTTATAAGCTGCATATAAGAAGCACTTTTCAACAATATAAAGATGTATCATATACATTCTGAATATAACACTTTAACATCTAACATATATATATACATTGATTTGTGATATTAAACCTCTTCTACCATTTCGCTTCTAAATAGAAATGCAAATCACTCTTCTATTACAGTTTGTAATCTCTCAAGAGAACTTTACACACATATCGAGTTGAATCATGAAACAATGTTAAATAAAAAAAAAGGATAAAAATACATTTCCTAGGAATAATTTTTCAAAATACAGAATGAAAATAAATAGTGAACTTAAGATGTATATAAATTCTTATAACACATGTATCATCATCATCTTTATATTCAGCACTATTATCATTATCATCATCATGACTACTTCTGTTATTACTGATTACCAACTTTTTACATTAAAGCTAATGTACTATATATCCATAGGTCTACACTATTTATTCAGGGCTTATTGTACACCAGGGCATCGTTTCACAAAACCGTCACCAGTACAAGTCTGCCCGACATCCTATTGAAACGTGTGTTAATTTCAATGTACACGTTTCGATGGGATGTCTATGAACTTGTACTTGTGCTGGTTTCATGAAATCCTGCCCAAGCTACTACTTAAATTTGTATCATTGCAGGGGTCCAGAGTCTCTAGACGCTCCAGATAAATAGACGGTTAATATATTGGATGACAGAAATGCCTGTAACCTATAACAGGGTATACCAAAAAGAAAAATAATAATATCCCAAATAAATTATTTCTCAGTACTATTCAGCCATGTTCAAGTACCTGATTGTGTGATCTAACATATGATCTGGCAACAATTTCTTTGGGCTGTATTTTGTCCAAGGTTTAGGGTTAGAAGTTGGTTTTAGGTTTAGGGTAAGGGTTGTTGTCAAATAACCTTTCTATTGCTATAAAATAAAACCACACACATTGCTATCAATAAAAAAAACTCCACGTGGTCCTCCATGCACACACACGAACAGACGAGGGGGAAGAGAGAATAAATCCTTGTTAAATTACAAAACCGAACTTAACCGAACTTAACCCGAACTTAACATGTACCTTATATCAAATAGGTATTCATTGTTAGAATACAAAGGGCAGGGTGAAATTCGCTGGCCCAAACATATGAACAAGTAAATTTATCAATAGGAATCAGGCAATGATTGTTAACAATATAAATGCACATTTTCCCCTTCAGCTATTTTCATAACTCTATTTTTTTTTCTCAAGGTTTCATAGCAATCATAAAAATTATCCAAATTCATCAAGAGGCCGAGAATTTACAGAGCCCAGCAAATATACAATTTCTTTTTAAATGTAAAGTACATATCAACCACAGCCTTTTACAAGAAATGAATATGAGAATAAATCTACAACAGATTGTGTTAAAAAATGCATAATTCTGCCCCACAAGTCAATTGCAACCATATACATGCAAGTGTGTAATATAATATATTTCAGTCTCGGTTTTACATGTTTTCCTCAAAGTGAAAAATAAATGTATTGAGAATTTGAGCTCATTATGTCTCAAAGTATGGCATTTTTTTAAAAATAGGCCTTACATTAGAAAAATGTAAACATACATTTGTTTATGTAATGTTACATGATCATTCTTCATAATTTAGGTTTTTTTCTCAGCTTCATAGCCATAAATAATGATCTTCAATATTTTGTTTCATTCAAACAATTTTTCCCTCAGCATGATTCATTAAATACAGGTAGAAATTACAAAAGACAAGGAAACTATGAGAAGAAAAAAAAAGTAAAAGAAAGAGCGTCGATGTGCTGAAAGAAATTTGTTTACAAAATTGCCCTGATTTGTTGTAAGAGTATATACATGTACTTGAAGCACCATAGAAAACCATCATCATTTGAGCAAATCAGAAAGCATAAAAGTACACAAACATGTACCCTGCTTGTTAGAAAGACATTCGGATCGCTAACAGAAACAGTTTCATATTGGAGAAAAAGTTGATTTCTCAGTAAGGTGAACATAACTTAAGAGCTTTCTGCATCATTTTATCCGTATGCGAAAGAATATATAAGCAAATATCTCATGAAAAAAACATTGCTCAAGAAATCCTCTTGCATAAACTAGAAATACATTCACAACATGTGATGAGAGCCTGATTCAAAGCTTTCCAGTGTTTGTGATTTTCATTACTGGTATTGAAATATTCATTAGTGAATTTATAATTTTGACGGTTCCAAAATCCATATCCCCACAACACACAATTGTTCCTATTTATAAAACATAAATGTAACCTTTCTAAATAAACTTCCATGTTTATTTTCCTTGATGTAATTGCATGATAGGAAACCCCACACTAAACATCACAAAAATTGTTTGTGTGAACCTAGGAAGACTATCAAATTGAATATGCAAGATTGCAGGAATAACTGAATACTCAATTTATAAATATAAGGAAAGGTGATAAACACTAGTAGACACATCATCAAATATATTAGTTGTCATTCCAAAATTGATTACAAATCTCATGATTATTTCTCCCCCCAAAAGCAAGTCTTGCAATCTTTCTTCATGAAATTTAATTACTGGTATACATCATGATTGGACATTACTGGAGATCCATACCAACAATTAGGAAGAAGACTCCGCTCTGTAATTTTTTCATTCTTATTCTAACGAGCAATGCATAAGTAAGTATACTTTATCAAGTATGGACTCTGTACTGATAACATTGTTTTCAATGGCAGTCCTGTGTTGAGGCTACAGCCCATGGCACTGGAAGCCACTGGGCCAACAGCCCATGGTCTTGGGGTCCTTCATAATGAAGTTTGCCCGTTCTCTGTTGAAGTGGCTCAAATTTATTTAGCAAAAACAAAATTGTATAATATTTCTTTAAAGAATCTAATCCCACAAAATATCACCCCCCCAAAAAAAATGAAGCACAGTTTTTCAGTTTGACAAGCCTCAGCCATATAATGGGTTTGTACTTTGTAGCAGTAATTAATTCAGAAAACATAATTACGGCACTATAATTGTGAATCGCAGCTCCATACCCCGCTGTCAAGTGTTGTTGATAATCCATGACTCTGGGTTACATAATACCAACACGTAGAAGGAGTCATCTAGGGATTCGACTAGCGGAGTGCCTGCATGCACTAACCTACATTATATACCATTCCTGCATGCTTCACTGCATGTTCAATTTTTGTCCAACCAAAATGGATAATGCACGTTTTATCAAAAGATGTTTCATGTTTATTGATCATATTTATTTCATTCATTTGTGTTGAAAATCATCTGCGAATATTTAATGTTAAAATCCAAAATAGATTTTTTAATTTTTTTTTTTTTACTGCATACAGGGAAACTGTATGCATTCAGCATTTCAGCCATCTACATGTACAGTACATATTATATATGTATATAATATAATCTTTGAGAGTATCAATTGATAAAATGTGAACTAGAGCATTAAAACCCCCAACATTTATTTCACCACAATTTGTATTAAGAGTCGTTTTCAAACATGATCATGATATAATTTGTATAACACATATAATATATGAAACAAATATTTAATATTTTTGTATTGATGAGATGTTTCATTAAACTCGTGAAATAGTTTGACTATCTCACTCATACAATCTCCAAATACAATGGACAAACCTGATGCAACAGTCAGGCACTTCATAGAGTATCAAAACATGGGAGGTATTTTTTTTTTTTAATAATTTTTTTTAAAGAGTACTTTCCTTTCTTACATACATGTAGGTCCCCTCAATATTTCATCTCTGGGTTATGGTATTTTTCTATTTTGTTTTGTATAAAAATGTATAATAGCACATGTAGTTATTGATGAAAGGATCATAACAAGATTAAAAAAACAAGCACCATTGCCTACCGGTATGTTGATAATCTGAAAGATCGTAAAGTATTTGCAAGATGGAAGTATGTATTTCATCAAAGAGGAAAAAGGTAACTTTTAAAGTGATTTTCACTAAGAAAAACAAAAATTGTTGTTGACATGACCATGAAAATTACAGAAATAATATGAAGCACTTTTTTTTATAAACATAAAAAAAACACAGCAAAACCAAAACAAACAAACAGATGAATAATGCACTACACAAACGCTAACACTTTCATATATTTGTATTTATAAAAAAAAGGAAAATATATATATATGAAAGTCTCTAATGAATAGAGACTCAGAGATGAAGAAAAAAATTGCAGTAATGCGTAGGTTACATGATGTTGGAAGCTCTTGAAAAGAATAGAATCTACATCCATAAATTTCTCACACTAAAATGAAGTAAAAAATAAATATGAAATGGAAGCCATGTTGATGAAGGTGAAGTGAAGGGATGTTAGGAGTCCATGATGTCAACCTCTCGTTTAGAACTAGAGCTGTTTTTCTTGCCAAAGTCACTGATGATGAGCCTGTAGAATAAGACCAGGTTGATACAAAAGATGGATGCGAGGGTGTACGGTCCCGTCTTGCGTATGATCGGCGGGACGTCCTGCTCCGTCACGACCACCCAGACGCAGAGAAACCCCATGGAGCCCATCCGGCAGACCACGTAGCTCAGGATGTTCAAGTAGGCGTTGAGCCGATAGACCAGGTCCTGCTTGCTGAAGCCATACATGAGCAGGAGCTGTCGGCTGTGCAGGAAGATGGAGTTGAGCTCCAGGATCATGGCGATGTTGATGGTGGCGTACAGCTGACGGAGAGAAAGGATCGTGAAGCATAGAAAGAGGACCTGCAAAAGGCAAGAAGAAAAAGGAATACTCAAACCTAAACATTGTAAAATGGGAAATATATCTGAACAGACAATTTCATCCCATTAGCCCTATGCTAACATCCTACTCCTGTCGTATTATGCACATTTAAGCAGTATGGGTGTAGATAATCTATGGCAGCCCTAACCCTAACCTTATTGGCTGAAACCAAAACCTATACCTATAAACTCTAACCATATCACTATGAATTATAAGCGTACAACCGATGGAAAGTCAACAAAGTGATGGCTACATACAGTTAGCCATTATATTCTCTACATAGACAAGTACTTGATTTCACGAATATCTTAAATTTTCCCATGTACAAGAAACATGTATAGTATGCCTTTTTACACTACATGTAAAGTGTACATGTACATTACTATATTATATTAGGTTCAAAACTTGAATTACATACATGTAGCTCAAATAGACTTTGGTATTTTAATTATTGTCAAACACTGTCAAACACGCACCATAATGCTTGACTAAGTACCTTTCCAGCTGCATTTACACTGTAAGCTGAAAAACCCATCAATCTTTCTCACATTCTGGGTGTTTTGTGTTTTTCCAGAAAAACCAGACTAAAAAACCAACCGCTGGAGTGTTTTTTTTTAACATGCCAGCAGAACTTCACAGATTTTTACGGTGTAAATGCTTGCTATCAAAATATTAGTGAATGATTCTGGTATTTGGTCACGCGATCCTTCTCGCTTATGTGCTTCACCAAAATGAACAAACACAAACATTTTGTATGGGTTTTTCCAGCAGGGCAAATGGCAGTCCAAAAATACAATGGTTTTTCAGAATGTTTTGGGGTTGTGTAAATGGGCCTTCACTATCTTTCGATTTAGGGTTTGGGCAACAATACCTTTTATAATTTTTGTGTAGGCGTATTTGCAAAAAAGGAGTGCCTTTTGTGCTATTGCTATGCCTCTTGGTGTAAAAAAACACTGATCAACAATAAGCATATCCTTGAATGTTGATGTACATGTAGACAATTTCTTTTACACTCAAGAAAGACTGAAGGAGTTAACTACATTCAGCTTTAATCTGCATTTAAGTGCATGTACAGTCCCATGCCATCATTTGCATGGACTCCTTTTCTATGTTCCTATTTTCTAATGTGTATGCTCTCGTGAGAACTTCTCTAATCACACGGTACAAAATTGTCAAAATGAATATCAAAATCACAAACATAATTTGGAGTGAATCATTACTTCTACGATGATACTCAGCAGGATCCATAAGTCATTATAAGGGTACGTCCAAGCCATTTTGCTCCAAACGTTACCGACCTCATCTAAGAATCTGGTTACTGCATTACACTATGAGCATCACTCCATCATCATCATCATCATCATCATTTATTTAAGTACCGGTAGGCATTTACCCTCTTATGGGGGGGGGGGGGGATTACTGACTTTTGCGCCATGATGGCATTCCCTCCCTCCAGTTCTTCTTATCTCAAGCATTCTCCTCACTTACATGTAAACCAACCTTTCTTCACCATATATTCCAATGAAATATTCGGTCTTTTTTCTATCTTATAAATGCCATCCACTTCCAGACGCCACGCTTGTTTCACAGGTTCATCAGCACACGCTTATCTATCTAAATTCTTTTCTCGTTACCATTTCCACTAGTTTCTTCTAGACCCAACCTTTCCCTGAGCTCACTTGTGTTTTTTTCTTTCTATCTTTCTATCAGACAGTTTCACAAGACACACCTTCCATATCATGGCTCTCTCAAGAAGCAGTGGCATTAAGTGTTTATAATGAATTACTGTTCGGGAAAAAGCAAGAAATCATGACGCTAGGGCCACGCATTCTCAATAGCCGCAAGAGCCTCCTGTGGATATCTCAAGCTTTTTTTGGTTAAATCCTTAGGCCTGTATTCTGAAGTCAGGTTTAGTTAAACTAAACCTGACTTCAGAATACGGGCCTTAGTGATTTAATCAAAACGCTTAGTTGAAAAAACAACACCAGAATCAATGATGCATGTACAATGTGTGCAATATGTACACTATGAATGTACATATTGATATGAATACACTCCAGGGGGTAATATTCGGCAGGCATTATGAAAAATTGAACATCAAATGAAAGACATTGGTGTATTACCTGTAAATTTATGCTTCATAAATGTAGCAAGAAAACAATTCATTTCAATGTACACCAAAATATATGAAAATAATACAATGCCATTTTTTTAAATATATGTCTGCAAATGGAGGTAAAATAAAAGGTATATTATTATTATTTACTTTACAAAAATAAAAGAAAGAAAAACACATGAAGATTTGTTCTAAAACATGTTTTAAAAATCTTGGCAACTGACAGGCATTTTTCACACTACCAAATGGACCTTGGCATTTCTACAACTGATGCAAAGTGTTCATCTAAGCAAAAGTTTGATGACATTACTCACATGTAAAGTACATTGTGGACAATCGACATTCAAATTTCAATCACCAATAGCTAGCTTTATTGAGTAACAGGAGTCTGCATGTTTTAAGTTATCCTGAGACTTGTTCATATATGCCAGAGGAAACCATGACAATTCACGTTTCTTTTAAAGCATTTTACTTCATTAAGTGTACTACTGCAGTTTACATTTTGTATGTAACTTATAACACATAGATCAATAGTGAGTGCTCGTAGGGCTACAGAAACATCATCGGTGTAATACACTTCACATTTCTGTATCTTATAACACAGAGCTCAGTGAATATATGCATGAGTCAATTGTTGCGCGCAATTGCCATTCATTTACACATAAAAATAAGCGCAGCAGCTTTTTAGCGGCAGTTTACTACGCCATATCTGAACGAGCCTTTAGATGCTACCTCCGTTCCCTCTGGCACTTATTCACGTAAAAAAATATGTACATTCGTTCACTGTGGCATTGCCAAAACCTTGTAAACTCGCACCAGTAAGAAAGCTGTGTATTGTGCAGAGTGTAATGTATTCTACACACGATTCAATCCATTGTTCACAGTTTATTTATCAGCTTTTGTTTTCATATTTTTTGAGAATCTGAAAGAAGCAAGCAAATCACAAATCATTCTAGTAGTAAAACACATTATAATGAAAATCACCGTTTCCATATTTTCCGCTCTAGTAAACATATCACTAGATTGAACTGCTTCACTCATCATTTCCTACAATCCATCATTTTTCTCTCTCTATCCATACATGTAATCAGTCCGCTACGTAATATCAAGTTCTTTTGTATTATTCCGGCATGTCACATACAGACTTTTTCCCCTCTATGCAAGCCAAACTGAAAATACTGAATACTGTTTTATCAGATTATCATATCTGTTTATGCCATTGCCATGTATCTATATTATGATATTTAAAGTTGCATTTGAAATGTGAGCTAAGCGAATTTCCATTTGACAATAAATTGAAATTATGAAATTGAAATTGAGACTTAATAACTAACATAGGCATTTTGGCAAAGAAATTACACAAGGTTTTCCCTCTAATTCTGTATACAAAATGACGAAGAATGGTGGGATTTAATTGCTAATTGAAAAATATGTGAGAGTTGTTCATATTTTTTACTCACCACAAGATGATGTGTGTATAGCGGCCATGAGTTAGAGAAAGCATTATGAGCCATCAAATCCAGAAGGTCATATGCAAAGTACCCTGTAAAAAGATGATTGTTAAAAAAAAAAGTTGATTTTAGTTGATTTAATGGCGCTACTGCAGTTCCGTATCCATTTTTTTTAGCAGTTTCATATCCATTTTAAATATCCAGTCTAAAAATTATGCAAGCTTCTCGTATAGCTTATGGTATCGTGCATGTGCGTAATACCATAAAACATATGCGAAGTTTGCATAATTTTAGACTGATAGCTTCAGTTTGAGGTGCAGAGCTATAGCGCAAACACGGTACTGAGCGACGACGTCAACATCGAAGCCCTAAACAGAGGCTTCCCGATGTCGGATGTGATCCAAATTCAGGTGGAAAATACAATATATGATTATGAATAAAATTAGTTAAAAATTGGGCTAAAATTCCTTTGCTAAGAATCGATATTACTCTGCTAAAAAAATGGATACGGAACTGCAGTAGCGCCGATTTAATTAAATAAAAAATAATCACAATGAATACACAACACTAAGAACAATAAAAACATATATATCAATCATGTAATGTTTATCCACTGCCACCAATACCTTTCAATTATTTCATGTCACAATATCAAGAATACACTTCTTCATTTGAAAGGGGTTCAACTTTTCTGTTAACAAGCTCTGACTGAGTAGTCAACAGATAAAGTTAAACACAATTCCACTAAGCCTTGAGCCGAGCCTAACTCTATCAGTCCTTGGCTGCATCAAATAAGGAGAAGCTGTAGTTTAGGGCTGATAGATTGCGGTGGACTACCGGTATACGGTCCTTCATAGTCTCAAAATTAAGACGCTCTCATACTCAAATAAATGTAGCCTACACTATAATGGACCGAGGGTTTGTGCCTGCAAACCACCAAGTATGACTTGGATCACACACACAGATGGAGAGGAGAGAAAGAGGGGAAGAGGAAGGAGGGAGAGGGAGAGGAAGGGGAGGGAGGTTGAGAAAAGAGGGAGAAGAAAAGGGGATAAAGAGGGAATAACGAGGGGAGGAAGAGGGGGTAAAGAGGGAGAGGAAGAGGGAGAGGAAAGAGGGAGAGGAAAGAGGGAGAGGAAAGGGAAGAGGGGAAGAGGGGATGAGGGGGGAGAGGAAGGAGGGAGAGGGGTGAAGAGGGAGAGGGAGAGGAAAGGGAAGAGGGAGAGGGAGAGGAAAGGGAAGAGGAAACGTGAGAGGGAGATGAAGAAAAAGAAAAAGGGGAAGGGGAGGGGAAGAGGAAGAGGAAGAAGGAGAGGAAGGGGGAGGGGAAGGGGGAGGGGAAGGGGGAGGGGAAGAGGAAGAGAGAGAGATGAAAAGTGAGAGAGAGATGAAAAGTGAGAGAGAGATGAAGAGGGAGAGGAAGGAGAGAGGAAGAGGAAGGAGAGAGGAAGAGGAAGGAGAGAGAGGAAGAGGAAGGAGGGAGAGGGAGAGGAAAGGAAAAAGGAAACGTGAGAGGGAGATGAAGCCTGGAGAGGAAGGGGGAGGGGAAGAGGAAGAGTGAGAGGGTGAGGAAGGGTAGGGGAAGAGGAAAGAGGGGGGGGGGGGGGAATAAGGGGGAGGAGGAAGAGGGAGAGAACATTTACCTCCAGTAAAAGCAATGATGATTTCGGAGCTCAGTGTATAGCCATTTACAAGGTCTTCTTGCAGCTCATGATTGGAGAAGAAACTGGAAGAGAAAAGATGAATAACGATGCTGATCTGTAATATTCATTTATAATATCAATAATATTCATATTTAATCAAATAAATTTGATTAAGTACTGTACATAATCAAGAATTTTACAGAAATATTTTGTCGCTAGTTAATCAAATCTTGTATTAAAGGACTAAAGGGAATTTTACATTGTTGTACATCTATCAACAAAAAGTCCTAATATATAAAAGGGCTTAGGATTTAAAGAAGGTCATGGGTCAAGTATTTTTTTTTCCTGTCTATGTTTTACATTTAAAGCAAAATATATATAATGTACATGTATATGGGAGAGACAACATAACATTTTTTAAATAGATAATTGCTCTTCCTAATATGACACATTATATCAAAGATGACCATTTAAAGGGAAATCCAACATTGATACTTGATAGCAAACTTCTCTAGAGGAAAGCAGAAAAATCAGAAAAGCATACTGGTGAGAGTAAATCAGACAAAAATGAGTACATATAAGTTATAAATTTGTGAAAGTTGCAATCACTATACTATAGGTATAGTCTCTTCAAATTGGCTAAATCAGAAATGTCTCTGTTAAGTGTGATGCTCCCAACACACAAAATGACTAAAATTTCAATTTTTCAAAAAAGTATTTCTCCTTTTTAGAGGACCTGTAATAATATACTCTCCATAACATATTTTGAGTACTTTATTATTAGTATTTAGAGGGTAAAAATCACAAATTAATGATATTTTTGTACAAATGGGATGGTAATCCGTAAGTAATGTTAGTACTACGTCACAACCCACTGACAAAATTTGCCAAGTTACGTCACAGGGTTGCCAACTGTCTTTGATTGATCGCACCTACATGTATACAAATTCATAACTTTCTTATATATAATCAGCTATTATTTAAACTTTCATTTTTTCTAATCGTTCTGCTTTTATCAATATCAACTTAATTAGACCTATTACTATATTGTAATTAATAGCTTTAAGTTCAAGGCAAGTTAGTCCTCCTTGTAAGTGCGGTAAAATTCGCGGTATGTGTATGGGGAAGGTCGACAAATGTTTGTTTTATGTAGAAAAGTCCACATACTAGATGGTTATTTCTGTTTATAAGATAATGAAGGGGATCCTATTCCTAATCCTTATCAAATGATTGGTTGAGAGCGTACACGTAAACCGGCATTTATTTGCCAGTAGTAACAGTAACACACAATTTTACTACTGAGTAATGACCGGTCATTAGTAAAATCATGTTATAAAACATCATTTTGTAAAACAAATAATACACATAATTTTGTTCAGGCATTAGTAAAATTATCCACATTAGCTTCAAAACAGTCCAAACACCCTTGCTTTGCCTTGCCTTGCCCTTGGCTTTGTCGGCTATCGCCTCGGGCGTGTTAATTAGACTGTCCCAAAGGTACCTTGTGTGGTTAATTCTTACTGATGCCCTCATTGCTGTGTGTTATTTGTAAACTATTCGAACTTGTCGTAGCTTTAGGTACGTTCATTATCATGATCATGATCATGCATCATCTCCCCAACTGGTGCTGCCAGCGCCAGTCCGCATCAGGCTTCACCCTCCCGAAGTTTCGGCGTATAAACTTACCAGTACGTGCCAAAGATTCCCACGATCAGGGCGTGGATGAGGGAGCATATCGCATTTCGCCATTTATGACGACTCTTGTCGGCGTATTTTTCAGGTGATGGTAAATAATTGAGTGCCTTGTTAAGGCAGACAAATCCAGTAAAAGAAAGGCACGTCGTAGAAATGCTGGTGTCAGACAGAATCAACATTCTGCATGCCTATAGATGACTTTCTTTTGAAGAATCGCACTGCCTGCTAGCTGGGAATCTGGGAATGGGAGCGGTGACCGGTGATGGCATGATATGGATTCAAGATCAATCAAATGGAATGCGCATGCGCGGATATCATAGCTACGCGATTTTTCATTCGAGACATTTCATGCACCCATGCACATGTACTTGGTCATTGTCATTGATTGATTGATTGATTGATTTGATTCGCCAAGCCTCCAACACAGGGGCGCCGGAAGTGGTGGTGGGGGTGGTGGTTGGGGGGGGGGGGGGGGGGGGGGGGGGGAGGGGGGATAACGCATATACTTTTAAAAAATTTGTATGCGTTTGTTGGAAAATTACAAATTCCCAAATTTACAGTCAGGCAAAAAATATGCTTATCTAGAAGCATTAATGACAATGCCTGCAGAACGGCGGTGATCAGGGGGCTTGAGCCCAAAAGTATGTGAAGAAAGAGAGAAAGAATAGTGACCTGCCAGGTTCACAATACGGGGGCTCCACCCCTGGACCCCACCAAAGGCCCTAAGGCGGCCCTGGATGTTCGATCATCTGACCGTAATTAATTACCTAAAACCCCTGAGCTTCCGGTGACTCTGTCCCCTGGACGCCCAACAAGGGCCCTAAGGCGGACCCGTAGATGCTCATGCATCTTACCGTAATCAAATGCCTAAAACCCCTGAGCTTTTTAATATGGAGCTCATCCCCTTTAACAGTGGCGGATCCAGGGGGGGGGGGCTTCCCCTGGGGGAAAAACAGTTAAAAAACGTTAATTTTACCTTTTTTTTGGAGATGGGCCCGCTCCCCTGGCGCTCAAGGGGGGGGGGGGGGGTTGCGATTTTTCAAATTTTCGAGGGCCAAAAAAAAAGTGCTACCCCCCCCCCCCCCCCCTTATTCACCGGCTGGCTGTTTCGTCGCTAAATATTTTCTAACGAATTGGGCCCCCTCTTTGGCCCCCTCCCCTGCCGCCGCCTGGATCCGCCCCTGCCCCTGGACCCCCGCAGTTTAGTGACCTAGCTGCCAGTGTTACAAAAAGGGTATCAAAATATGCTCATGGCTGACCGTAATTAAATGCCTAAAACCCATAAGCTTATAGAGGCTCCGGACCCCTGGACCCCACCAGAGGCCCTAAGACGAGCCTCTGAATTCGTCATTTGACCATAATTAAATGCCCCAAACCCATGAGCTTTAAGGGGCTCAGCCCCCTGAACCCAACGCCAATTAGTGTAGTGACCTACCAGTGTTCACAAAGTAAATACGCTCACCTGATCATAATTAAATGCCTTAAACACCTGAGCTTCCGGGGGCTCCATCCCTTGACCCCCGCTGGGGCAAATTAAGCCCCTTGACCCTCACGCCAATTTACGCTCCGCTCGCTTTGCTCGCTACGCTCTACCTGATCGTTAATACTCCACTTTGAAAAACGTTCCGCGAGACCTGCTATAACATATAAAAGTGCTCGGAGTGGTAATGCAGATTTGTCTCCCCCCCCCCCCCCCCCCCTCTCCAAACGTTTTTGCTCGTTACGCCACTGCCCCTTAAAATCAGTTATTCCTGACCAATCAACAGCAGTTAGTTGAAGAATGAAACTCTCTTCTAAAATAATGGTTCTGATATCACTAGTCCTGTGATGACCTATATAGCCAGTGTAATATATTTTCGTGAACAAAAATAAATGAATGGTCGCCAAAACCAAGATCAATGACATCACTTTGACTTATTTTATTTTCTTCGCTACAACTAACATGATCCAGTAGAGAAGAACTCATAGGAATAACGCGCGTTGCCTCTTTCATGAGTTCGCTTAACCCGTGAAGCAAGGGTGTCGATTTGTATCCTCGGTTGGGGGGGGGGGGGGGGGGGGATGATAGGTGCCAAAATATTTTCGGCAATGGATCAAAGCAACCAAGAGGTAGAGGCGTGTGGCAGGTCGCACCCCCTCCCTTCCAAGATTTTTAACTTTTTCAAGTCACCCTCAATAAAGATAATTTTTTTTTAGAGAATATGGGAACCATGTGGGTCCCACATGCGCTTGCTACCTGGGTTATTATCCTCTCAAGCATATAGGCAGGATTTTATTTTAGGGGGCGGTAGTGAGCACCTCCTAGGGGGTGGGTGCAGGGAGGGAGAGTTTCCCCCTCCCTCGCGAAGCGCGGAAGCTCTGACTTTTCATTAAATTATTAAAGAAAGAAGACGATTCGTTGTCCCATTCTCGACTCTTAATCCTTGTCTGAATTCAGTTTCTCCCCCCCCCCCTCCTTCCCGCGCGAAGCGCGGAAGCTTTGACGTTTCATTAAATTATTAGAGAAAGAAGACGATTCGTTGTACCATTCTCGACTCTTAATCCTTGATGAATTCAGTTCCTCCTCCCCCCCCCGTCCTTCCCGCGCGAAGCGCGGAAGCTTTTAACTTTTCATTAAATCATTAGAGAAAGAAGACGATTCGTTGTACCATTCTCGACTCTTAATCCTTGATGAATTCAGTTCCCCCCTTTCCGCGCGAAGCACGGAAGCTCTGATGTTTCATTAAATTATTAAAGAAAGAAGGCGATTCGTTGTACCATTCTCGACTCTTAATCCTTGTCTGAATTCAGTTCCTCCCCCCCCCCCCTCCTTCCCGCGCGAAGCGCGGAAGCTTTGATGTTTCATCTAATTATTAGAGAAAGGAAGACGATTCGTTGTACCGTTCTCGACTCTAAATCCTTTTTCTTCCTACACTCTAAAAACTGAAATGTTAATTGTCAATTTAAAAGGGCCGACGAGTGACCACCCTTTCAAAATGTCAGATTGTTTCTTTTAACCTGCTTGATTCAACCTTTATAGTGTTGGATCCAGCACGTTCAAAGTGTTAATCTACCATTTTGAAAGAGTGGTCACTCCTCGGCCCTTTTAAATGGTGATTTAACATTTCATTTTTTAGAGTGTACGTCCTCTTCCTTTCTTCTTTTTCTCCCTTTTTTTTGGGGGGGGGGGGAGCGACCACCCCAACCACCCACTGGCTACGCGCCTGTATACTCTCTGTCTCTCTCTCTCTCCCACTCTCCTTTTCTTTCTTTTTTTTTGTTGCACTTTTGCGCTTCGCGCTTAACATTTACTAAGCTCGTTGCTTTTTAATGCTGCGGCTCTGCATTTGGCGCACTGCATTCATATGATGCTATTGATTAAATAAATTGAATAAATTGTTCAATTCCTGATGAAGCCGTATGAGCGAGATTTCAATTTCTTCTTGTCTCATATACGGTCGTCTTATTTACTTCATTTTCTATTTATCTATTATGTATGTATTATGAAAATGAGATAGCAAAGTGTGTATATTGATGATCATCTTGCGAGTAATAACCATTAACTACTCTCATCGGGCTCTCATCATTATTATTATTTTTTTTTTGATGGTGAATTATTGGGGGGGGGGGATGATTGTACAGGCCATCCCCCCCACCTGAAATATTGGGGGGGGGGGATATATCCCCCCCATCCCCCCCCCCGGGATCGACACCCATGCCGTGAAGACTCAAAAAGTCAATATATTGTTTTTAGCCAGAGGCGATTTGTTTTGAAGAAGACAAAATATTAATGTCTCCTAAAAGAATAATTTCGTTATCTTTCTTTAGTATATCAAGAATATTGGACAATACTTTCTCGATAAACAATTTTTTAATCCCGGAGGTCTATACAGAACGCCTTCAACAATTAGTTTTAAAGCGGGACTGAACCACTTGTATCTACTTGCGCCCTCTATATAGCCAACAATGCCTAAGCGGTACCCATTGGCCCCCATGATCCTTTTTTCTTATGTTAATTGATTGAGAGCTGATTTGAAGAGATATTCCACCTGCATGGATATCTAATCCCTCCTGGCCAAACTAGTACAGATAGGCCCTTTTCCCCGGGCTTTCACGCTATCAAGCGATCGCTTATTGTAATAGCCCTTCTTCTTCTGCAACTTTCTTAATGAATAATTATTGATATTATGTTACGAGTTAAATGTTCTTTTATTGTCATCATTTCTTATTACTACATGTATATTGTATACACATTAACGAACTGTTTATATTTTGTATGTGCTATATTGCTGAAATGTAATTTGATTTGTATCTTGCAGAAGAAAAATAAATTAAAAAGGGAGCATGTGTATCATTTTACGTTAGCAAACAGGGAACCGACGATGTTAAATCCTTTCTAAGGGACTGGTTCCCGAGGGTGGGGTGGGGGCACAATGTAATTATAGTACCCCATACACATCACCCTCATGTTACTTTGAAATAAACAAATATATCAACGAGTGCTAAGGATGTTGTACATGAATGGTGTATGTTAGACATGACACTGTGCTCCTCGAGGAAAAACAAACTACAATACTGCCTGATTTAATCTGCCCCTATACACACTATAACTATTTTTTAAAGCAAATCTTGGAATTATGCACTGGCGGCTGGACTAGAGTCATAATTGTTATGTACCCCCTCCCCCGCAAAAAAACAAAAACAAAACGAGATGGTCTCGCCTGATCTTTACTCCTCCTATTCTATTCTTTTCATATCACTTTAGTTTTTTATTCTCGAATATAATTCTCTTTGTTATTCATAGTTAGGTTATTAACTCTTTGGAGCTGTACACTGTAAATGGTGAATTGCCATTTGGTCTACAACCAGGTATACTACCCAATTAGTCTATTCCCATTTGGTCTACACCCAGCCCGTCTACTATCCACATAGTCTAATAATCACTTCGTCTTTATATCATTTGGTCTAATGCCCCTGTAGGCTAATAGCCACTTGGTCTAATCTCCAGTTAGTCTTCGACACATTTGATCTATTGTTATATGATTCCCAGTAAGTGTGATTTCCAGTTTGTCTGATGCCAATTTCGTCTACTATCCATTAAGTCTAATAATCATTTAATGACTATTTAATTTTTTTTTTAATGAGTTATTTATGGTAACGTGATTATTAGAACATATATATATATGATAAACTGGGAATTAGACAAACTGGGAATTAGACCGACTTGATATTAGACTAAATGCGCAACAGACCAAATGGCTTGTAGACTTATTGGAAATTAAGCCAA